CGTCTTCTGCTCCAGCTGCGCGTACCGCTTCAGCACCTTCATCAACGATATGGCCGAGTGGCTGTCCAGCCCGGAGGTGGGCTCCTTGAAATGGCAACAAAGGAGAAAAGAAGGAAGAGTTTCATTAATTGAATGTGCTATTAAATATTAAAGCCTATTGGCCTTGCTATATCGCAAGTTGTCCCACAATACCGTATATTGTATTACTAATATGTTTATATATTGTATATATATATATGTATCGTTAGGTATTAGCTAACATCAAAGCATCGTCTTTCGTCTTCTCGTCTTTCCCTAACTCTTCACACAATATATCGTATATCGTATATATATCAAATCTACAGTCGTACAGTGTCGTAGCTCATATCGCTCTCTGCACGTAGCATCTTTATATACTTATTATCATTAATACCGTATCGTATATCGTAGATCTTCAACTCATGTACATCAAGTATCTGAATATCTGTACTCTATTATCTCTCCCTTAATCGTGTCGCATCGTTTCTTATATCGTAACTCCCACTCTCACTTTTACTCACATCAAGCAGCATTAGAAGCGGATTGGTCAACAGCTCGCATGCGATATTCGCACGCTTCTTCTCGCCCCCCGACAGACCACGATTGAGGTAATCGCCAAACTTGGTCTGCTGACAGCAGGTGAGTTCCAGCATCTCCAATATGTGATCGACCAGCCGCAGCTTCTCCACACGCGCCATCTTCTCCGGTAGACGCAGCATCGCCGTATACATGACGGTCTCGCGCAACGTTAGCTGCGTGAAGAAGATCTCCTCCTGCAGCACGTAGCCAATTTTGCGACGCCAACGCTTGGAAAGGGGCTCGCGATTCAGGTAGACGCTGCCACTATCAAAGTGCCGCTGCCCGCTGAGGCAGTCGAGCAGCGTCGTCTTGCCGCTGCCCGAAGGACCCATGATAGCCAGTACCTCGCCAGGACTGCAGAGCGAAAGAGATGGAGAGAGGATAAAGAGAGCTATTAGTTTTCTCACTTCAGTAGCTTATCAATTTATGTTGTTTGTTTACAGGTTTGTTTGTTTGTTTCTTCTGTTGTTGTTGTTGTTGTTGTTACCTGACTAATCCACTCACATCGGAAAGAATTTTGCGATCGTTGTGCAGCACATTTAAATTCTGAAACGTTAACTGTATTGTTGGTTGTTGTTGCTGTTGCAATTGTTGCTGTACTTGTTGCTGCTGTGCAGTAGGTAGTTGTTGCTGCTGTTGCTTGGCAGCATTTATGAAAGGAAATGTCAACGAAGGCGCCTGAGCCGCACTGCAAAGAGGCAAGAATAGGAAAAGTCAAATAACTTAAAGTTTTATTTCAGTTTAATATTATACTAATTAATATAGACGATTAAGATTCATACTTTTTAATTTTTTGTTCAATTATTTAATAATAGTAACTTTTTTATTTATTTATTATTTATTTTATTTTATTTCTTTTTGCTATACATTTATTTATTTATATTTACGTAGAAAGAATAACATAAGCCCCATATTCAATATATATACGAGTATTATATGATATTCACATATGCCGAAAATAATTTCCGCCATAAAAGAACCATCTAAAGCTTATCAGAGTCTTGTGGTGTTTATTTATCTTGTATACATGTTACATGTGATGGAAGTTTAACAAACTCTGCAAACAAATTTAAAAAAAATCAGCAATACACCAAAAATGCATAAAAATAAATCATATTTAAACTGCGCTTGCTTTTCAAATTACCCTGTAATCAACAGTCGAATGGCAAGTGGCCCAAAAGTAGGCAGTAAAAACAGTACGGATATATATGCAACATAAAGGCAATATAATTTAATATATAAACTATAAAAAATACAAGTTACAAATAAATAAGCTTAGCTCAATTTATTTTAGTATTATTATCACAAATCGTTCTCCAATTCGCCTTGTATTACAGTTATAGCTCGCTTTGTTACAGAAATACAATACAAATATATTCAACAATTGTTATCAAACATATTTACAGCTTTATTATACCCCTTTCATGCGCTCCTCGGCTGTAGGGTATTAAGAAACAAAAGTCAATGCACCCCTCCCCAAGCAAAAGTAAAATCTGTGTGTGTGCGCGCTACGAAGCGGGCGTTCAGTTGGCCTCTGTATAAAAGTGCGTGTGTGTGTGTGTGTGTTGGTTGGCTTCTTTATGTGGAGAGCAGCTACACAATAGCAGCACAACGGTCGATTCTCCACTGTCAACTGTTATCGCCGATATCACATGTGTGTGCGACGAGCAACGAACGCATCGCATCGCATCGCCTCGCATCGCCTCGCATTATCACACGCTCGCGCTCTCTTACGCCCACTCTCGCTCTCAGTCGCTCTCCCACACGTACGCACGCACTCTGTGTGTTCTCTCTGTTTTCCTTTTGGCTCAACGCTCGGTCAATGCTTCTGTTTCGTACTCCTCCAACATGCACCAATACCAATGCCTGCCCAGCCGTACCGTAGCAAGTCAATAGCCTCTGTTCTCTTCTCGCCCCTTCACCGTTTAGCTCTGGCTGACTCTTTTGCTCCTGTTGTTGTTGTTTGTGTGCGCTGTATTTTTTTTTTTTTTCTACCTATAAAATTAATTTGAATATGTTTTGTTTTCTTCTACACTTGGCGAGCCTTTGTGATTATCTCGATTCTTTTCTATCTACGGATTTTTAGCTTCTAAGGAAGATTAATATAAAAGCTATGATTTCTCTCTTAGATAGAGTGTATATGGGTAATCTTTTCATTTAAACCTTTTTCAAAGCATATTTGCATACTATAATAACTTTAGCTTTTACCCCTATAACACTCACATATAATGCTCCAGAACAAATTTATCGTTTAAATATCACAGATAAACATCAATGGCATCCTCTTGAGCGTAGAACCATTCCAAAAATTGAATCGAATGTTTAAAATTCTACAACAACAAAAGGCCAATGTAAATGCTCGAAATGGGAAACCAAAGTAAATAGAGAGTGCAATGAACCGCAATGTGCGTGTGTATGAGACGGCAATACCAACAACAACTATAACAACAACAACAACAACAACACTAGCAACAAGAACAACAACAAAAGCAACGTCAGGCACAGGCCCCAAGTGGGGGTCAATGCAGTCAGCCAGAGACAACAGCGTCAAACAAAGCATATACGCACGTACACACACGCACAATTACACACACACACACACACACACACACACACACACACGCACACACATGTACATACATGTTGCATGCGCATGCAAAGTATCTGATGAATGCGCAGCTATGCCTATACCTCTATACCTTGGACTCCTTCTCTCCCTCTGTCCATCCATCTGCCACAGTCCGCCTAGAAGTCAGCCTATATACATGCATAACAACAATTGCAATGTCCGGGTCTGAAATGTCTGATATGCGCCTGAACAATCAGCACAATCAAACATGCATACATACATATATGATATATGACATTCTAAGCAGTTCTTATCCTCAAGATCTTATCAGTTCATCAATTATTGTGATAATGTCGAATACATCAACTGAACAGTGATGGCTCAATACGAAGTTCATTTCCAATCATAAGTAATACTGCGACTACTTATTTAGATTTGTTTATCATAGCTAAGAATGAAATAGGTAGAATTCGAAAGAATTAAAGAATCAAAAATTGTTGCCGAAAATATAGAATATGAAACACTTTGATCAAACAGACTAAAGAAACTGGATCGATGTTCATAAAAGTTTCCAAACAATCTCAATCTACTGCGAATATGCAGCCAATGACCTTGAACAAATTTGATCGTTTGCCAGATCCGTAGATCGTATGTAAGATCGTATAAGATTTGAATAATTACTTCTTTATACTGCTGACAAGTACTTATATGGACTTCCCCCACTGTTAAGTCGTCCATAAACATACAGTCATAGACTTGGAGGGAAGCCTATTCCAACGCCTCCTACGTGAGCTCCAGCACATAGCCCCGCTCAGTCGGAGCTTAGCAAATTTCAATGGTTGTTCGAGAAATGTCGATTACAAATTGAAAGAAAGTAAAATAGCGAGTGAAAAAACGAAGTACCAATGGAGTTTTTAAGGCCAAGTAAATTTATTACCAAAAAAATATATATTTGTTTTTCTATTTTCGTACTTTTGTTTTTGTTTTCGTTTTGTTTTCTTTCCAAACTGTCACGTGTTTGTCAGCGCTCTTAACTGATCGTTGTTGTTGTTGTTTGTTCTAGCATGAAAAAGCAGTGGAAAAAGTGCATATTTTGCAGTTATTTTTGGGGCGAGGCGTGCCACCTGAGCCACGTTCCAGTTTAGTGGGTCAGCACGAGGAATTTCATGATGAGTGTGCCAATGCTAAAGAAAAAGAGCTCATCCAGCACATTCGCAAGGTTATCGGGCGCTCGAGCGTCGACCTTCGAGGGTTTGGTAATTGAGCTCCTATTCGAAATATTCCTGGTAAATTAATGAAACTTGATAAATGAGAGAGGATTGGATCGTTAGTTGGGCATGCCAAATAAATGTGGTATATCTATTAGCCACGCCCATTTTGGAAAGTAACTAAACTAAACAGCATAAACTTAAAGCATTCAATTTCTATTTGATAGACGTCATTAGAGCGTCCATCCAGCGAAAGCGATGAGGAGATGACAGCTTCCACAACCCCTCCTCCGCTCTCACACACAAATAAAAAACCGAACAAAAACAAAATAAGCTTTAAAAAATGCATAATAAACTCCAAAGCTAAAAACTAAACTAAAACAACATAAATGTCGTCAGTAAATTAAAATAAAATAAAAACAAAATTATTTGGTTAAAAATAAGTAAAAATTTTAAATTAATTCGAAATAAATAAAAAAACATAAATATTTTAAATTAAAAAAAAAAAATCAAGTTATGTAACGTAAAAAATAAATAAACATAATATTTGTAAAATTTGAAAAATATTTATACTTCTTAAAAAAAAAAAAAAAAAAAAAAAAAAAAAAACTTATAATAATATATATTTTACATTATACATGCACATTACAAATTAAACCAAGCTTTATTTGATTACAACTTAAACAGCTCTCATCAAGCTTACATAATCCATAAAAAATGTACCATAGGGAAACATATCAATTTCAAAAACAAACATGACACTATAATGCCCAGCTATATAATAACCAAACAAAAAAACTTTATAATTTACGTAATTAACAAATGAGAGGAAACAACAACAACAACAACAACAGCAGCAACAGCAACAATAAGCGAGCTACAACTGATGTTGATTAAGGCCACTAAGGCAAACAGCTTTCTAGTTGTTGTTAAAGGGAGCTACTATGCTTAATGGGCAACTAAGCTGGGCTTGAGCGAAACAGAGCGAGAGAGCGAGAGAGAAAAAGGGAGACAGAGCGAGAGGAAATGGAAGATATAGATGGCGGGCGTGTTGAGGAAGGGATTCGGAGGGGAGCATGGCGTAGGTCTGGCATTGAGCTACTGCAAGAGAGTGCGAGGAGCAAAGCCGTAAGTCTGGCGCTTCTTGTATACGCCAAAGGTTGTTGACTCTTTACAACAGCAAAACAGACGGCGAAAATAATATAATTCGCACGCACGCATACACAAAACACAGAGAGAGAGATAGAGAGAGAGAGAGAGAGAGAGAAGGTAAGCTAAAGACAAAACAAAAAATGCGCAAAAATTACGTGAAAGTTTGGCATTGCATATGGACATGCACACACACACACACACACATACCCTTACACACACGCACACACAGCTAAGCGCACGCAATCAAAAGCACAAATTTTTGAAATTCTTATCGCGTTTTTATTCTTTATTTTTTTAATTTTATTTACTTTTTTTTTTTTATGTTGAATACATTGACCGATATTAAACAAGTTATATATCTACCTATGTAAGTGTGCCTGAGTCTGTATGTGAAGGGCTTGCAGAGTTCATTGACAGCTTCTTTTATGTATTTTGTTTTTTTTTTCTTCCCTCTTTTTTTTTTTTTGTCAATTTTTAGGCCTTTTTCTCTATTTTTGTCTATTTTAGCATGTATTTATTTGTTTGCATTTTTTATTCAAAATATTTTAATGTTTATAGAGTTGTTGCCTGACAAAAGAATTGGGTCACCAATTAGTTGTATTTTTTTATTTTTTGTTCTTGTTTTGGCGCATTTTTATTTGTTTTTGTCTATCAAAAATTTGTGCAATTTATTTGATGTTTTTATTTACTTATATGTGTATTTTTGTTTCGTTTTTTTTTTTTCGCTCAGCTGCTTTTAATTAATATTTGTGTAGCTTCCTAAACAAATTGACAAATGCGGAACATGGTGCTATATATATGTATATATATGTACATATATGACTATATAATATTCTTTGATTTGTTGTTTTTATTTGTCTTTCGTCTTTGTCTTTCATTTCATTTCATTTCTATGCTCAATTGCGTATATTTTTTATTTTTTCTTTCTTTTTGGCCTGTGTTACTGACCCAATTCTTTTGTGTTTGCTTTGGTCATTTCTTTTTCATTTTTTTTTCTTTTTTTTTTTTTTTTTTTTTTTTTTTTTTTTGTTTTGTTATTTATGACCGACTTAATTTGTAGTCTCGACTATGCAAATTTGTTGCTTCTTCTTTCGATAGCCTGAATTATTTTGAAGGGTGTTCCGTCTGCTAGAGGATATTCAAGGGTATACTGTGAACTATATACATTATGCTTAAGCACACTTTTTTTGCGTTCCGCACTATTCAAGGTCCTCAATTAATGCAAGCCCCGGAGTGAGCCCCACCAAGGTCAAAGTCTAGAAGCCAAAATGAAATTGTCGATTTGCTCGCTTTTTATGCATATAAAGTATTTATATAACCATATAAATAACCTTATTTACAGGGTATGCAAGAGTCTGTCATTGCATTGATGTTACATTTTTAGAATTAGCAAAATGACTAAGACAATTTTAAATTGGGTTACGTTAATTAAGTCTACTTTACAGGGTATTTACGCATCAGTAAGAACATTTGCAATGCTTTTTGTTTAGTTCTTTTATTAAAGGAATTCAAATTGAAGCTGAGTTATTTTAATTCTATTACAATCTTGTTCAATATTTGTTTTTCTGATTGGCTTTTTAATAATCAAACATACATTTTACTGGCCAATCCAGTCCATTACCGTATTATCAATTTAATTGATAAATTTATGATCTATGTATGAATAATGCAGCATTGAGGGATTGGGACTGCAGCGCTGTACAGGACTCACAGTACCTTCTAGTCAGGCACTCAGGCACAACTTGTTTCTCAAATATAGGGTATGTAAGTGTTTGTCACTGTAAAGGAAACACCTTTTCTAATGCTTTCCATTTGACAATTTGCGCAAGGCTCTGCCCAAGCTGTGGCTGGCGCCTGCGAGTCGTATACGTAATTTATGCATGTGCACAAAAGAGATTCTGACTCGCACACATACATACATCTACGACATAGGGTATATTTATATATATATATATATACATATTTATATCAATTCCAGTTCTTGGCTGGTCTGAGTGGGTGTTGCTCTGTTTTTTTTTTTTTTTTTTTTTTTTCTTTCTTTCTTTCTCTCTAAATTGAATTCGAAAGGTGGCTTAGAAAGCAAACAGGCCAGGCAGGCAGGCAGGCAAAACTGAGAATTGAGAACTGAGAGCTGAGAACTGACAGCTGGGAACTGAAGAAAAAAGTCAACCAACTACTTTCAGAGTTGACCAACTTTTGACTAAGATTACACTAGATTACATTATATAAGCGCGTACGTAATTGAATCGAAGGTGGGGGTATGGGGCGTGGCAGCCAGGCAGTCAACCACAGGCGTGGACTGCTGTTGACATTAGCAGCGAGAGGAAGTTCATAAATTTGCAGCGCTTTCTTCTCTTTTTCTTCTTCTTGCACAGTTTCACGAACTTTCACGTCACATTGTGTGGTAATTAGTTAGCTGGGAATTATGCTTCCTAGTTTTTTCTTCTTCTTCTTTTTCTGCAATTGATTGGCAGCGTCCAAGTGGGCCATCAGTTTGTCTATGTGTATAATTTAGCATATTAATTGACACAGTTGCCAGCCTCACACACACACACACATGCACACACACACACACACACACGCATATATATTTAAATACGCTGTCAGTGGTTGTTGTTGCTGTTCTACGCACTTTCTCCGTGTGTGAGATCTTTATGAACTATGCAAAAAAAATAAAGATGGAGAAGAAGCAAAAATGTCACGTGAAAGCCACAAAATGCATTCGATGCATTGGCATTAAATATGCCTCAATAGTGAAGCATCTAATTGCCAGCTTTGAAAGTGTCATTGCAACTGGGTCGGCTATAAAGCTATAAAGCTGACTATCGGCACATGTATATATTCATATAGTATAATATGTCATAGAGATCCAGCTGAAGCTGGAGACGTGAACTCTAGTTGAGAAAAGACTCGACTCGACTAGACTCGACTCGAGAGCTCCAAACAAATTACATCACAAAAGCTGAACAGCTAAATATCCATTATGCAGATACAACAACAAAACAATTAAAAAGCAATAACGAAAAGCCTAAAGTAAAGCAAGCAATGGAGAGTTCATAGCGAATGCGAGATACCCTTTCAAACAGGTGTTTCTGATTGAAAACAGAGTTGATCTGCAAAAGTTCCTGTACGTATTTAATACAGATTTCTCCTGTCTCCTATATCCTATGTATCTCCAGTCTCCAGTCTCCTATCTCCAATCTCCAATCTCCTATCTCCTATCTCCTATCTCTCTCTTGTCATATAGACAAAAAAGGCATATACCTTGCCCGTAGGGCATTCAAACAAAGCTCATGTGCAAATTAGTTGCGCAAATATTGAAACTGCATTTGAGTGCAGCGGAAGTAAACAGCAAAAACAAAACAAAAACCAACAACAAATAAAAAAAAAAAATATGTTAAGTCGTTAATTTAGCATAGCTAAGAGAATTAGATACTAAAGACATTATTATTAAAGTACATAGTTAATAATATAATTATTTATACTCAAAAGAAACAATCAAGAGTCAGGCTAAGGAGGGGGAAGCTATCATACATCGGGAAGCAGTCATATATTGAACATGAATATATAGGGTATATACAGACGCAATCGTCTGTAAAGATACTTGACATATATAATTGAATGCTGTGCGCATAGTTCACTTCCCAGAGCTAATCTTATCTCTATTATCAGAGGAGAAATGGGAAGAAATAATGCGCGTAATTCATTTGGCATTTCAAGCACTGTCAACTGACTGAGATGATAACAACAGCAACAACAACAACAACAAGGAGATTGGGGAGGAGGCGCAGAGAAGGAGGAGAAGTGATAATCAGTCTGTTTATACAGATGCGACCCACACTAAGGCAATAACAACTACAACAGCAGCAACAACGAAAAGAAAACTCAGTGAAACTTGGGGGAAAAAGTCGACGACAAAAATGTCTTTGACTGCGGAAAAATAAAGGCAGCCAAGTGTCATAAACAATGGGCGAAAGGTGGAGAAAAGCAACGGCAGAGAGAGAGAGAGAGATAGTGAGAGAGAGATAGGAAAGAGTAACCCAAATCATATTCCTAATTGAAATGCAACTTTGTAACGATTTGTCGATTTTTTTTTTGTGAAATCTTGAGAAACAACAACAATAAAGCACATGGCCTTGTCTCTGGGGTATATTATCGAGTATCTAAATATATATCTACAATACTTTACCATATCTATATCTAAATTCAGCGTTGCAGCGAGTGCTTCAAATACTATGGAATACGAAAAGAAAATTGTAAGAACTTGAAACAAGTTTTAACATAATCAGTAAAAGCTCATGTAATGATAATTACTTACTTACTACCTCCACTATGAGTAAAAATTTAAATATACATCTATATATATATGGTCTTTATCTTTATTTTGGTAGCTATCCAATCATTAACCAATTAGCCAATTGAACGCAACTTGTCATGAGAGCAGCATAAACATAGTCTTTAGATCGCTAGTTCTGTGGGCGGTTTTTATGACGTTCCAAATATGAGCTTAATTCGTGTTATTATATCACTCCACAAGTTTTTTCAAGTCTTTTCCCCCCATTTCCATCCACAAGTCTAATTGAGGGTTTCGGCATCTACAGTTTTTGTTTTTATTTTTTTTTGTTTTTTTGTTTTTGGGCGTTTCGAGTCGATTATTACATAGTTTTATAATTCGCGACATTTAACAAGTTTGATTGAAGAGAGCTAAAAGTGTTTATTAGGCCTGAGCTTCAATTAGGAAGGTTTTCAATTTAGTTCATTGAACTTTTCTTGGCTCTAGACTTGCTGGCATTTTAGCGTTTTTATGGCTATTTGGGTTATCAAAATGGAAGCAATGCGGTTTAAGTTTTTGAGTCTGTATTGTGATTAATTTCTAATAATTTTTTTCAGATGGCCCATGACACAAAACTAATATACTGCTTTAACTATGTGTACGAGTATCCTAATCCCAGCTACTTCATCAGATCAAGTAGAAGGAGATGATGCACTGAAGTGCATCTGACTCACGCAGTCATTTCTGTGAGACGTTAAAAGGCAAAAGCTTGGCAGACTTGGGATACTATTTTGCATACACCTTGAAATACCTTGGCGACAATGTGTCAATAAAATTGTTGCCAACGGGAGAGAAAAAGAAGCGAAGAAAGAAGGTGTAGCAGAGCTAGGAATTGAGCAATATCAACAGCAATATCAACAGCAACAGCAGCAGCAACAGCAGCAACAACAACAATCGAAACGCGGAACGCGCTGAAATGAAACGCTTGACAAACGCAAACAAATAAACAAATGAAATGAGCAAATGATGAAATGAGCAAATGACGTTTGCTGACAGAGACGCAGCGCAAAAGGCAACGACAACGACAACGACAACAACAGCAACAGCAACAAAAAGAAAATAGCTTTAAACAGGCGTCGAAAACGTGCGAATGGCGCTCGCTGCCAGCGCTGACTGCGGCTGCGTCGACGCCGGCTGCCAGCGCAGCGGCCATTGAACCTGCCAAGTGTAGCTCAGAATTGGCGAAAGTGAAGACCCACTGCCTCAAGCGTAGAGACACAGACGCATTAAAGACAGCAGCAGCGGCAGAGAGAGAGAGAGTCAGAAAGATAGCGAGAAAGAGAGAGAAATATACACAGAGAGAGCGGAAAAGGGCAGAGGCAGAGCGCAAAACAGGAGAGCGATCAGCGCTGATGATGACGCAGTCGTCAAAAGGCAACAACAATAACAATAAAACACAAAGCTGATGATGATGCAGAAACAACAAACCGCGATTAGAAGCGAGGAGAGACAGATCGACCGAGAGAGAGAGAGAGAGAGAGAGAGAGAGATAGAGAGGAAGAGGGAGAGAGAGAGAAGCAGCTTAAACAAGATACAGCTCAAACCGTTGCCATACTAACTGACTGACTGACTGACTGACTGACTTACTGACTGACTCGTCTTGCAATCATCATTAACTTCATCATTATGTGCTTCTTCTGTTTCATCTGCTGCAGTCGCTGCTTCTTGGAAGAAAACCCCAACGCAACCAAATAATGAAAACAGACAACAGCAACAACGGCCAACAGCAAAAGAAAAACAAAACGAAAACAAAAAAATTGTTGATCACATCACAAACAACACACACACACACATAAAAAGGAGAAAAAAACGCAATTTGTTTAAAATGTAGGTCTATAGGTTTCTCGAAAAACCCATGTGAAAGACGTTGCCGCAGCAACCGCAGCAGCAGCTGAGGCAGCAGCAAAGGCAGCGGCAGTGGCAGCGGCAGCGACCGTGGCAACAGCAACAACAGCCGGCTAACAGCAGCAGCAACAGCAAAGACACACACACACACACACACTTACACTCATACGCACACACATACTTGAAATGCCTTTTCCCCATCATTTGGCTACACACACGTCCCATGTCTTGGAAGCAGTTAATGTTATACACGCGATTACACTGAGAGAAATTTAAGTGCGGCAATAAGTGGTTAAACCAAAGAAAGCCGTTTATTTGATGAACTAAAATTTTTTTAATATTTTCAATTGATAATTTTTTTTTCCTTAAATATATAAAAGAAGTAAAATTGAAAAAAAAAGATTGAAAAATATTGAGAAAAATGTTTTATTAATATAAATAATATATATATATTTTTAATATATTCAATTTATGCATTTATTTATATGCAATAATGCATGATATATTTATATCTTATACGAGTATATTTTTATTTTCTAATACTATAAATTATAGTTTGTAAAATATACATTATTCTTGTTAAAATTTTATTAATTTGTATGCTTTTTTTTTTACTAATTTTCGCATATATAAAAATTCTTAATTTCCTCAGTGTATGCACACACAAACTTTGCTGCTCTCAACTCGAAAAAAGACTCTTAGCAAAAGCAACTTAAGGTTATTAGCCGCCTTTTTTCGTTTTTTTTTTTCGGTTTCTGTTATTTTGGATGATTTTTGGATTATTTTTGTTTGTTGTTGGCGTTGCTGTTGATCTTAATGTAATAGCTCTTAGAGCATGTGTGTGTGTGTGTGAGTCCATTTAGCTGCTGCAACATGAGAAATAAAAGCACAGCCAGAGCTGAGAACAGTACGCTTGCATACAAACGACTTCTTACTACTCGTTCAAAAAACTTTTTTTGATAGAAAATATTTCTTTTTATCTAAGAAAATTTTAAGATTCTCTAATGTAGTATTAGTATTAGTAACCATTATCTTCTAATACATTCTTGAATAAATATATTCACTATATAATATAATAATTCCCATTGCTAAATTCTCCATCCAAGAGCCAAGTTCAGCTTCATACAATCTACATATGTGCATCTACCCAGATATGCAGAAATATTGCGACAAAACCAATATACTCCAATATATGATAAGCTCAAAGACAGAGTGAGAGAGAAAGAGAGAGAGAGAGTGAGAGCGAGAGAGGGAGCAGCTGCAACTCATAAAATGCTTGATTTGATGCTGCGAGGCGCTTCAAGAGCCAAAAATGCTTACCGCATTTGTTTTCGCTTTGTGCCTTGTGCTTTGTGCTGCAGTCGGTACAATTTTATTTATTTATGTTGGCCTACTGTCAACACACACACGCACACTCGGAAAAAGCCAAAAGCATTTGCTCAAATGCTTTGGCCTGTTTCGCGTTGGCTTCCTCAAAATTCATACGGCCATTTTTATGATTTAATGCGTTCAAAACATAACAACAACAAATGGTTTATTAGATGCACGTTTTATGTGCGCGGTTTTGGCTCTTATGCAACATGTTGCAAGCAGCCTTGTTCATGCCTCATTTGTGGGAAATGTCCCAGAGAGATGTACATAAATGAGCAACTTTGACTCTGTGTGTGGCTTGTCATGCATTTACCTCAGGTACTTCTTCTTCTCCTCAGGTAATTCCATAGCAACTAGACATTTATTAAGTACGTCTGACTTAAATTATAATTTTTATTTTGAAATTTATTTTTTAAATCACATAGAATAAAGACATTTGCATATTTTTCTATAATTGTTTTATTTATTTATTTATTTTTTTTTGGTTACAAATATTTGCTTGAACTATCGCCACGGCCATCTGGGCGTATGCGCAATGCATTTACATATTGCGTATACGCCATGTGTTCAGCTCAACTATTGATTTATTTACTTCTCCTTTTTTGCGCACCTCAAATGCAAAACTAAGTGAATTCTTGTTAATAATGACGATAATAATGATACGACTGCCGCTGCTGCTCATTATATTAATGTTTGGCTAAGTTCAAGAACGTTCATTTGGCTTGAACTTGCGCAGCGTAGCAAAGGTCACACAATGCAATAGAAGTGAATGCACTCAAGCGACAGCGTCAACTATGTCGGCAAACAACAATAAAAAGCTGACAGCTGCCGCTGCTGCTGCTGCTGCTGCTGCAACCGCAATTTAAACTAATATAGCTTGCAACAACAGCAACAGCAACAACAACAACAAAAACCATAACAACAATGACAATGACAATAATTTATTTTTGAATTAATTTTTATTCGTTTGCTAAGCAGCAGCCGCAATAACAAAAGCAACAACAAAAGCCATGCAACAGTCAACCGCAGGCAGCGACGTCAACTGCAACTGCGACTGCGATGGTGATCGTGACTGTGAACTGTGACTGCGCCTGTGAGCGTAAATACGACTGTGAGCATGTCAGTCGACTGTAAGTGGGAGTATGATTGCAAAATGTGAGCTCTAGCAGTGATAGTAACTGTTAAGTATAACTATAAACGTGAACTGTGACTGTGATTGCAAATATTTGTATTCTTGCTTTGACATTTATCACTTGTGAGAGTGATCGTCACTGCGAACTGTGATTGAGAATCAACAGCTGTGACTGGGACAGTGACTGTGACTGTGAGCTGCCAACTATGTGCTGTACTGTAACCGTGCTCGTGACTATCGTGTGACCATCGACTGTGAGTGACTGTGACTGTGACTGATCACTGTGACTGATCACTGTGACAGTTCACTGTCACTTTCAACTGTGACTGTCCACTGTGACTGATCACTGTGACTTTAACTGTGACTATCCACTGTGAATGTCCACTGTGACTGATCACTATGGCTGTCCACTGTGCCTGATCACTGTGACAGTTCACTGTGACTGTCCACTGTGATTGTCAACTGTGACATTTGCAGCTGCCTTTGC